TATTCCAGCAGAGAGAAGTTCTGAGCGTCTATTTTCTATGTGTGTGTGTACATTCATGTGAGGGAGTTTAAGGTTTGTTTTTAAGCTGTATGTGTGAACATTCCTGTGTGAGTGTACACGTGGTGCACATGTGAAGGACAGATGATAACCTCTGGTATCGGTCCTTGCTTTCCTTCTTGAAGCAGTGCCTCTGGTTGCTGATGTCTATGTTGGCCTAGCTGGCCCTAGAGCTTCTGGGAATTCTCCTGTCTCTATAGCTCATCTTCCTACAAGGAGGACTGAGATTCCAGTGCTAGGCTGCTGTATCTGCATATCCAGCTTTATGTGGGAGCTGGGGATCTGAACACAGGTCCTCATGTGTGCATGGCAAGTGCTTTTCCATTGAGCCATTTCCCTGTTAAGAAATGTTTCTAATCCAAAACATCAAATTATCATGTTTACATTTTGTCCAGTAATGCAATTTTCTGCCTCTTTACTAAACCTTCTCAGAATTGCCTGTTTTGCACTTACTTGGTTTCTATTTATCTGGTACACTAGTCAGTGTTAGTGTTCATACTAAAGGAAGGACCAGGCGCCAACAAAGTGGAGGGAGGCTGAGTTGGTTTCTGAACATCTGAGGAAGGGTGAACAGCATGAACGCCAGATTCTGCTCCATCTCCCAGTGTACACTAGGATGAATCTGCCTCTAAGTGCTTGCTCTGTGGTCACTGCCGAATGTTCTAAAAACACACTACTGAGATTCACACATAGATCTGAAAACCCATCGTGCTATTTCATACAGTACAACTAAAGGAAACAAGGGAGATGAGAGTCAATTTTTGAAGCTGAACACTGATAAAAATGAACACAAATAAAAACCAAACAGCCAACTTCTAGCATTTCATGTTATTTTGCATTTATTATAAAAATTGAATCTTTGTTTTTCACAGAAAAGATACTTTAAAACAGTAAATCTTACCCAAATCTATTGAATCAAGAGATTCAATAGGGATTTAAACCCAAGGGTCAAAAAACTTTGAACAAAACCTTACATTTTCTAATGATTCATTCCAGGAGTGAAACCCAATTATACTCATTTCCAAATATATGATAAAGATTAAAAATAACAAATGCTAGCCTTCACAGAGAGCTAACATAAAAATGTTCCCATTCGATTGGTCCGTTATTTTACTTCTTATACAATGTTAACATAAGCTGACACACAACAGGTATGTGCACAGACCCTTCTAACTCTATGGCCCTTTGTGTGTTTAAAATCGCACACCATGTCTGTTAGAGATAACGATGAACATGCAGAAGGTATTCAGGATTGTTCTCCATTATGGTGTATTATGTTAGTTAAATTCGGAACTTAAATATGAAATTAAGTTCGATTAGAAGCCATCTCAGCTCAGTACTCAGTACTTTGGTTCATACATTCTGTGTTAATACTTTTGTGTTGATGAAACTGTTCATATAAAAAAGGCCGAAGAGAATATAGTCCATTGTCCGTTACAAAAGGTACTCAGCAGATAGCGCCAGTGGGTGTAGAAGTCACGGACAACAAACAGGAAGGTGATGAATGCACTTTTTCACAGCTTCAGCATGAGGAGAAGAAGTAATTACATCCAGGGCATTCTGTAACAGGTGCTTGTTTACTCTCTCTCTCTCTC